GAATTGTATCGTTGTCTCATATTCTGTGCTGATGATGATCATGATGATGATGATGATGGTGATAATAATGATAGTGATATCTGATGATGATGATTCCTGTTGATAGGCAAAATGTTGATAGCGATAACTGTGACAGTTTTATCATCATCATTTCATTATGGTGATGATAATAATGATAATGTTGATAGCGACAATTGTGACAGTGATATCATCTGATGATGATAATAATAACAATAATAATAATGAATCCTGTTAATAGATAAATGTCGATATCAACAGATGATAATGTTGATAATAATACTATACGTCTGGATTATCAGTAGTATGATTTTATCACCTGTTTTGTGCTAACAATGATATTGATAATATTGTTGTTGCTGATTAATTATGATCTTCCGATGATGGTAATGATTCCTGTTGATAGATGAATGTTAGTATCAATGGATAATATAATCTTGATAATAATATTAAAAGTTTCAATTATTGAAGTAGTGTCTTTTGAAATTTGAAATTGAAATGTTTCTCTGCTATATCTTCTGTGCTGACCATAATATTGATAATGCTGATAATGATGATGATAACAATATTAATTATGACAGTAATACAGTTGTGACCGTCTGATGATGATGATGATAATGATTCCTGTTGGTAAATGTTGTTAGTAATGGATGATAATAATAATAGTAATAATAATAATAATAATAATAATAATAATAATAATAATAATAATAATAATATAATAATAATAATAATAATAATAATAATAATAATAGTAATAATAATGATAATAATAGTAACAACGATAACAATAATAATAATAATAATAATAATAATAATAATAATAATAATGATAATAATACAAGTTTGAATTATTGAAGATGGAAAATGCATCAGAACAACGATACTCAGATTATGCTACTATCATTGTTGACATTTATGTGTTGTTATGATGATGGCGTTTATGGTTATTATTGATTTCAGACTAATATTAATGCCAGTGTCCGCTTTTTCCCGCTATATTTTTCTTCTATATCCTTCAGAAATAATTTACAAAACAAAAAAGAAAATTCCTTTTTTTTGAATAAATAAAAATAAAAGTTGAAAAAAAAGGACAAAAAAAAGGGAAAACAAAAATTTTATTTTTTAAAAAAAATAAAAAATTTCTTTTTTCCAAAAAAATAGCAATCATACATTTTATCCTCTTTTTTTTTTTGTTTAATTTTTAATGATAGAACGAACTATTATAATGATTGTTGCTTTTTTTTTTCATTAGTTTAAAATTTACAAAAATTGATTTTTATAACTATTATTTGAAAATACTGATTTCTTCAAAAAAAAAAAAAAAAAAAATTGTAATGTCATTCGACAATCGTTTAATATTTTTGATCAATTTATTTTACTATCACTAAAAATGTTATTATAATATAACAATGTTTTCTCTTTTTTATTCCGTTTGTAAAAATCTTGTGGAAAATAAATCTAGTTTTCCTCCAGGTTTGTTCTTTTTTTTTTTTTTAATTTTAGTTATGATCAGTAATTTTCCATTTTTTAAAATTGTTTCTCTTATAATCATTAAAAATATACACTGAATGTTATTGAAATAATGACAATATTAATTGATTAAATTATATATTATACACCAATTAATTGATGTAGAAGACATCAGTAATTATTAATTTATTAATTATTAATTTGAATAATATTAAAATTAATTTTAATATTATTCAAATAAAACAAAAAAAAAAAAGAAAATCGTAAAACATTTGATTATAATTTGCTCATGTATTTCAAACATTCATATACTGTATAAGTCGTACTCAATTTTTTAACATCAAATTATGCAATTAAACATATTTTTTTAAAATTCCTTTTCTTTCTTTGTTTTTTTTTTTTTTAATTAAATTGAATTCATGTCTTATTCATTTTGCATATATGAATGCATTTAATACATATATATTTTAATCAGTGATTCTTTTTTTTTCATTAAATTAAATACAAATAATTTTAGATATTATATATACATGAATATTTTGAAAAAAAAAAGATTTCGTTACATATCTTTTAATCATATATCATCATCGAATATACATATATATATTTTAATTAATTCTAATATTTTTTTCATAAATAAAAATTATTAGTATTATTGTATTTTTCCTTTATTTTGCTATATATATATATATGAAATGAATAATAAAGGTAATAGTATATATGATTAATAAATGATAAGAAATATAAATTTTATCACTTCATCTTTCTCTTTCATTTTACGTTTTTTCACTTTTTATTTTCATCTCTTTTTTCTCTCTCTCTCGTACTTTTTTTATTGGTAATTACTAGAAGATAAAATTTTTGATACATTTATCAATGTTACAATTTTTTACTATATATTACTTATCTTTTTCTTCTCTTCTTTTTTCATTCTATTTTACATCTTCAAAAATTCATAGCATTAATAGAATTAGAAATAGTAGAAGAATTAAAATGTAATGGTTAGAAGTATTTATGCTTGTATGATATGAATTAGAAGGAAAAGATTATATGAAATGATGCAGGATGAAATGAAATGACGGAAACTAGATGGAGTAGGCAAACTAGATGAGCTAGATGGACTGGATGAACTAGATGGATGGATGGATAGATGAATAGATAGATAGATGGATAGATGGATAGGTGGATAGATGGATGGATAGATGGATGGAAGGACAGAAGGACGGAATGAATTGGTTGGTTAGAAGAGGACCATTATGTTGGATGAATTGCTTAGGATGTACATGTGTGTGTCTGCGTGTGTGATGTGAGCTTGTAATGATGATGATGATGGTGCTGGTTGATGGTGATGATGATGATGATGGTGAGGAAAGAAGGGAGCAGAAGGCGACAACGACAAATGTAAAATGTGAAGGTTCTCTCTCTTTCATATGGTTGAGAATAGTCCTTGTCCAGTTCATATCCGTATTGTTATCGTCGTTGTCGTTATCGTTATCATCGTTATCATATTGTTATCATTGTCACTGTCATTATCGTCCTTGTTGTTGTTGCAATTCGTAGTTACTATTCATTTATTAGGTATTATTGATAACAATCATATTTTGTAACTATGAATGATTCCGTTATAACTAAGAATACTGCAAAAGAAGCTTCGTTTTTTTCTTTTCTTTTCATTCTTTTTGTGCTAAAATTTGTTGATTGCTACACATATATAGAAAGAAGAAGAATAGATGAGATATAGGTGATAGTTTATGGGTGACGGTGCCTTTTTTTTTTTTTTCCTTTTGTTTGCGCTCCGTTTGGTCGTTTGAGCATCAGTAGCTTTCCCATCTAACTCCTAAGTAACACTTTTCCCTCTCAACATCCATCTATTCATCCATCTGTCCATCTATCCATCTACTATTTCACGTCCTTCATTTCTAACAGCATTCAGCAATAGCAGCACCACCTGCTCTACTCAATTCTATTTCATACATTTCGAAAACTTCCATTTCATTTCATACCATTCTTCTTTCATCATCATCATCATCGTCATCATCATCATCGTCATTGTTATCACTATTATCATTGCTATTTTCTGCTCACTGATACCATTAGCTATGTGTTATGATTGATCCTTCAGAAGTACCTTCATTCTGCTAACAGTGCAAAATTCCCGGATTCTGAAAGCAAAGTTGTAAAGAAGAAATATGATTGAAAATTTAGTCCTCTAAACAGTAATATTATGAATGCAGCATTTGTAAAATACAAATTCTACGTAAGGAACTATTCTCTCTCGTTTTTTTCTGTTTCTCTCTCTTTCTCTATCTCTTTCTACAATACTTGTCCTTTTTTTGTTTGATATATGATTGCTTACTTTATTTTCAGGTTTTTTTTTTTTTTTCACTCTTAATTGAGAAGCAGAAAGAAAAAGTCAGTACGACTAGTGCAACAAGAAATTTCAATATTAAATTTATATTTTTGCAGAGTTAATAAAAACCGTACTTGTTGTTTATCACATTTGCAGTTGAAGTAGTCATTCATGAACATGAAATTTCCTCCTTTCTTTTCGTCTTTTTTTACTTAAACAAATTTGAAATTTTATAAGATGAATGTGTAGCGGAAATGTCTTTGTAATACAGTGAATATTATTTAAAAATGCAACATATAATTGTAAATTGCATTCTAAAACATAATTATCATTATAATAATGAATTAAGTTAATGGTAACATATCGAGTAGATATCTTATTTGAATGAAACGAATTACAATGATTGTATTGAAATTGCATCATGAATTCAAAAGAAAGTTAAGTTAATAATGAAACCGAGTAAAATATCTGATTTAAAAAAAAAGAAAAACTATCGCCTTATTTTGTTTTTTTCTTTTGTACCTCTTACATATAATATTAATACAAATGATTTACATGCCAGTTATTATATTTAAGGAAAAACCTTTTTATTTATTCTTCCTTTTTCTTTCCTCTCTCTCACTTTCCCTCTCTTACTTCCTCTTCTCTTTTTGCTCAAAATAGTACTAGTTATGAATCCTCACCCGTTGTGATTAGTTTATCATTTTGCGCGAAATGATAATGCAACGAATGAATAATGAAACCGAATAAATTATCTGAAGGCGAAAATTTTTACGGAATACAATTTAATCTAACAAATGCAAATAATTTAATTTTATTGAAAACATCATCTATTAATTTGATCAACAACATTCCCTTCTCAACTTCCTTCACTTCCTTTTCTCCCTGCAATATTTTCCATCAATGCTATTCGTGATATAATGATACTGAATCAGATTCTGTTACGTTGTACAGGACTAGAATGAAAATTTTTAAGTCTCAATTCTTAGTGATAATATCGAAGTGATGATTGTAGTATTTTATATTAGTAGTAGTTATAGTGGATTATATTGAATTTTAGGTGTTCTGTTTTTGTCATCACCATCGTCGTTAGCACTATCATCATCATTGTCTTTAACCACCATCATTATCATCGTTGTTAGCACCGTTATCACCATCATTATTTTTGTGTCATCATATCATCGTCATCGTCACTATCAGTCACTGTCATCATACCATCATCGTCATCGTCATTAGCACCATCATCATCATCATTACCATCATCAATCACTATCGTCAAATGATCATCATGATCGTCATCATTCGAGATGATTGTTGAAGGTGAAAAGGGAAGAAATCTGAGGATTTTAAAAAAGGATAAAAGACAAAATGAAAAGACTCTTGTTGGGATTGGTTTTGGATTTGTTTAGTTGATTAGTTTGAGTTATCTTTTACGCTTATACGTTTATTAATCGTTATTGACTCATTGTGTTTGTTGAAATTTTCTGCAAAAAGGAGGGAAAGAAGAGGAAGAAGTCATCTCGTCTTCTTCTTCTTATCGTTCTTCAGAAAGTCCATCGATGTCAGCTGTTAATCTCACTGTTTCTTCTTCCCTATTTCTACTTCTTCCTTCTTCCTTCTTCCATCCATCCTCCTTCATCTTCATCTTCCTTTTCCTTTTTCCTTCTTCATCATTGTTTGTTCTTCATATACAAGGATTTGAATATTATTTGGGATTCACTTGAAGTGAAATTCTATTTGCATACCTTTTTTTTTTTTTTTAAAGTGCTTTCAGATACTATCTTTTAGCTTTTCTTATTTTCATTTCTCGTTGTCCTTTCTTCTTCTTTCTTTTTTCTTCTTTTCTGAATTTTATTATTTTTTCATCTTATCACTGTAACAATTACATTATCATTCCTACTTTTTCTTTTATTACAATAAATTTTAATTAAAGCAGACATGATTTTTAATTTGTTAATTAATTTTTCGTAATAATTTTTTTTTTCTTTCCTTTGTTTAAAATTTCGTTGTAATATTTAAATTATCTTTATATTTATATCGTTTATGACTGCTTGTGATCAAATTATAATTGAATTTATAATGTTAAATTTTAACATTTCGTTTGTAATTTTCTTTTTTTTTTTGGTTTCTTTTTTTTGTTTGCTTTGTTTAGTTGAAAATGTTAAATGGTGTTAACAATGTCAAAATTATTAGATGATATTTGAAAAACTTTTTTCTTTTTTCCTTTTTTTGCAATTATAAATGTAATATTATATTATAGAAAGTATTGCTAAATTTTATTAAAAAAGTTAGAATTTATTGCAAAATAATTTCAAATCTATTTCTTTAATTTAATAGTTTGTAAATATCTTTTTTTATAATTTAACACTTTGCAAAAAAGAAAAAAAAATGTTTGTAAAAAAAGCTTTAATAGGCTTTTTCAAATATATTTCTTTCATTCGAGTTTCAATAATTTTTTTTTTTTTTGAAATTTCTTAATTTATTTCATTTTTTTTAGACTAATAATAATATATATTTATATTTAAAATATATATATTTAAATATAAAATCATTGTAGTTGTTATAATTACTTCAAGAAAAAAAAAACTCGTTAGTATGTTTAAATTTACTTTAGTGCATTTTATAATGATACTTCTCTTTTTTCTTTTTTTTTTTTGTTAAGACAAGATTTTTAAAAGAGTAAAATTGTTATCCCTGAAATATTTTTGTATTATATTTGCATTGAGTCACATATACATACATAAATATGCATACACTGTTGTTTTATAACTCTCAAACAGCAAAAAAAAAAAAAAAGAAATATCTGTTTGTTTCTACGATTTTTATAACCTTCAACTTTTTTTTTTTTTTTTTTTTTTTTGCAGTTATAACCTTTCTTCCACAATCTAACATTCGTTCTACTTTCAATACTTTTTAATTTTCTTCATTTATGTTATCATTCACAAAAAAAAAGAGAAGGAAAAAAGAAGAAAAAAAAAAAATAATGATTCTTGTCACTTTCAACGATATGAATCTTTTTTCTTTCCTTTTCTTTTCCTTCTATTTTAGAATTTTAAAATTGTCATATATTGTCGAATTGTTTATGGATTTTGTTTGGTTTCTTTTTTTTTTCTATTGTCAAAAAAAAAGTTCAGTGCATGTATTTGTTTGTTTGTTTGTTTTCATTTACTCATTGATTAAAATTGTTTATTATTTACAAATATTCTACTCATATTCAAAGTTTATAATTGTTAAATGATTAGTATAATACGCATTTTGTATTTAATTTCTCTTCATTATCATTATTTTTTTTTTTTTAAAGATTATTATTGTAAAGGAAATTTCATTGAAAATCTGCCATTCCCCAATAATTCTTAACTCTTACAGTTGTCATCATTCGCTGTAATTTTTTGACTCATACAATTGTCACCAATCCGATGTAATTTTTTGACTTCCACAGTTATCATCATCATCCAATGGTAATTCTTAAACTATTGAAATTATTGTCATCATCACTGTCATCATTGTCTGTTTAAATTTCATTTCAACAACATGAACAGTCTTCATTTTCAACGAATCTCTTTTTTTTTTTTTTTTTTTTCATTTCTTCTTCGACAAACTTTGATTTGATGTTTGATTTTCTTCTTTGATTTCTCAACTCAAATTTCACTTTTTTGCTTCCATCGAATCTTCTAACTCTGTTATGGCTGTAATCCGTTTCGTACTAGTTGTGAATTTCATCATTTCTTTCTAAATCATTTTTTCGTTTTCTACTACACACCTTTCTCAATCATTCATTTCTTCGTTTAAATCTCCTTCTATATTTCCGTGTCACAAAATGTCATCATTTATAGTGTTGAAATATTTTTTGTTAGCTTATGTCTCTTACGAAATTTCATTCATTTCAAATGGCACTAAAGAGAAATTGAAATTTTTTTTTTTAAACTAACACTGAATTTGTCCTGCTTTATTCCTTCTCTGTTCTTCTACATCCATCTACTACTAATACATTTTCTTTTCATTATCCATTATATTTGCAAAAAAAAAAATTCAACAGCATTTCATCTGATACAATGTTAATGAAAAAATTTTATAGCTTATTTGACATTTAATAGTTAGTAGCAATTCCGTTTACTTTTTGACACTTGACCTTTTGCTAACTTTTTACTATAATAAAATTTTCTTTTGTTACCGCATTTCTTCAACATCTTTAACAAATAATAGCAAGTTGCTCATAAACAAAATTCCAAATCCTATATATATCTTTTCTTTTGTTAAAAAAAAAAAAATTGAGAGAGAGAGAGGGGAAAGTTTAGTTTTAAAGGAGCAACGAGTTTCATCGTGCACTTCTTCCATCTGATGAATCATAACCCGAATGATTTCTCAGGAATCGCAAGACACAGTCAGTTTTCTCATTTTTGCGCTCCATTTGACACTTCCAGTGAGCTTCTCAGAACAACAGTGTCACAAATATGAGAAATTCTATCGATAGTTAACATTTGTACCAATAATACTATTTTATTACACAATTATTGGAAAGATTTTCAATTTCAATTAGTACAAAAGAAAAAATAAACTTTTTATTGCAGTGAGATGCATCTGTTTATGTGTTGTAGTAGTAGTTCAGTAGAAATTTAAAATTAATGTTTGAACTATATTAGAAGATAGGATAAAGCTAAAGAAAGAAGCAATGAAAGATTAAAAGGAAAAAAAGTGGCACTTAAATAGGAAATAGAGATGATACGTGAATTGAAATGAATTTTCATGATCCAACTAGTTAGTAGTAGTGGTGTCTCGAGCCGTAATTTCAATAACGCCATTGTTAGATGTCTTAGACTCAATGTAAGAACGTAGCAATTTCTAATCGATTTGTCACCTAATATTATTGTTTATTACTGGTTTATCATTGCGATGATTGAATTCTTTTTCTTTTAAATATTTTAACATTTCATGTATATTTCTATTTTATTAATATTTGTTATAAAAAAATTTTTACTGATGTGATTGATAATGTGATTATATTTTATTAGTACTAGCATATATCATATAATTAATTAATTAATAATAATATTAGCATCAATATTGGTACAACTATTGTTAGCGATAAGTAAATTTTTGATTCTTGATGTGAAAAGAAATTTTTTTTTATTGTCTTTTAATATTTTTGTTGATTTAATAAAACCGATAATTTATTGCAACATTTCAATGTAATTTGTAATTACAGGTTGGAAAATTTCGTTTATAATTTTGTTTTTTTTTTTCTTTTTTTGCTTCAAACTGATAGTTTGGTGAATCAGTTTGCTATTTGGAAACCGATTGGTGGTGAGAAAATTAGAACAAAACGATGATTCGTGGTGGAGCACCGGCGCAAACGCAACGTGGTGGTGGTGGTGGTGGTGGTACTTCATCTTTGCCATCAAATGTTCGAGATAGTGTTATGCATCGTTTAATGCTTTCAACTCAAGGTAATTACATATTGATATATTTTTTTAATTGATGGATTTCCAGTTTTTTTGGTTTAATCGGTTAACTGATTCTAGATTAATAGTTATAAATAAACTGAACGAAATAATAATGCATAAGATTAATAATATACTTCATTATTATGGTCAAGGTCATTAAAAAACCAATCCTTCATTCTTTTTCATGTGTTATGATTTGTTGATGACCTTGATAAGATTGACGATATAGGATAACTATTCAAATTTTTTGTACTTTTCTTTGAAATAATTGAAATGATCATTGTGATTCTGAATGATAAAGTGTTGTTTATACTTCTAGTTTTTTTTTTTTTTTTTTTTGACATTGTTATGCTTGCCATCTATCTCTAATCTTTTGATTTTATCATATTATAGCCAGATGATTATCGGAAAAAAAATTATAGATTTCCATGTTGTTTTTTTTGATTTATTTCAGCTGCTAGTGGCATATCAAACGGATCAGGACGAGCAGAACAACGATCACGTGAAGAAATGCAACAATATGTAGGACGGAATTTTCCATCTTTTCAACAACCAGTAAGTTGTTTATACTAGACTATTTGATAATGTTTGAGATGTATTAGTTAATATTTTTGAATCCATAAATTTAAAGAAAAAAGCTTGTAGAGCAGCATGTCATCATATTTTTTACCCATCTGGTGTGATAATTCAAAAGCACTGAAGGTTATAATAAATCAAGATGCTAAGACATTTTATTCTTATTAACTATATATTTTTTTTTCTTTTTTAAAAAATTATTTGTTAAAATTGAATTTTGCCAAAAATTCCAGCAAGTTAATAGCGAGGTGGATTTATGGCCTAATGTTTCGGGAGCCGATAATTTTCCATCTCCAATAAGTAAAACTTTCTTTTAAATTAATTTGTTTTAAAGATTCAGAAGATTTTTTAGTTGATATGTAAGTTTCATTTGTAAAAAATCATGAGAGATAATGTTTAAAGGAGAGGGATTTGAAACAAATAAATAGGTCCAGATAGAGATTTAGTTCCTTTAAATAAGAGATTGAACCATTAGAATGATATTTAAATTGTTGTAAAATCGAACGAAGAATTTAATCTGAAACGAAGGATTTAATCTGAAAAAATCATCACTAATCACTTGCGAGGAAGTCTTCCCATCATCTTTATTAATGTCCCGTTTAGTATGCGAAACTTTTTTTTATAAAATTTGGTAATTTCAGGTGGAAATACATATGCCTATGGACCAGGACCTGGCGCACCAATAATTTACTTACCAAATTTGCTCACTTTACCGCCGCTACCACCAGTATATTTGCGTTGTCCTGAATGTGGTATCTGCAAAATGAGTAGTGAAGAAATGGAGGTAATTTGCTGGACCAAATCAATTATTGTAGGGTTGTCTGGAAATTAGAAAAAAAAAAGTGCACCAATCTGAACATTAAATAATGGGCAATAACATTAAGAGTTGTAAAATGTATTCGAATAAATAGAAAAAACGGCAAAAATTCTTAAAAATTCTATTCAAATAAAAGGGAAAAAGATGTAGTCAGACATTTTGAAAATTTTTCAGGTACATATAAAAGTGGAACATTTACATTGGAGTCCTTTTCAATGCACTGAATGTTATGCGGAAAGATCGACCGATTTTCAATTGCGCGAACATGTTCACTCAACACATCGAAAAAATTATGAGCATAAAGTAGGACCATTTTATTGTTACAGTTGAAATAATTATTATAATTTAATCTTGATAAACAATGAGCTGGAAGAAATATTAAGGATCAAATATTACTAAATCATCCAGCAATTGTTTGTTCGGTCGTTCATAAAAAGTGTTAGATTATTTCATAGTCGAGAAAGGGGAATCCTAAAATTTATCAATAATGCGTCAGCCAGATATGACGAATGAATGAGTTGATCGATCGAACGAATTCTTCGTAGATTTTTCAAAAGTTTTTCATTTATAAAAGTGCTCATGATATGTGAGAGTACTGATACTTTGAATCAATTCTTTAAATTGAATGGAAAAGGAGGAAATCAGTACCCACTAATATTTCTTATTATTAGAAATTAGTACGCACTAATACACTAATATTTCTTATATAATATTCCTTATTCAATATCTTTGAATTACTTTTTCAATCCCCTTATCAACTGAAATTCATATTTCGATGACAGTAACAGTATTTTTATTTCGTTAACAGTATATTTATGCGTATCATGACAATCCTACTGCAAAACGGTTGCTTCAATTAATGATGGATCGTTGTTTGATGAATGCACGTCGTGCACAACAACCATCACTGATTAGCAATTCACAGCCATCAGCAACTGTAACGACAACAACAACAACATTACCGCCATCACATTTCCACTCAACAACATTTCCGGTGAATAACATGAGAGAAAGACTCATAACTCATACAAGTGATTTGGTTAGTTTCTTTTTTTCTTTTTTGTAACATAAAAGTATCAGAAGATAGTGTGGAATTGTTTATACTGTAAATTATGTTGTTTAAAAGGGGTGTCTTTTTAAAGTACAATAAATTTGTTGTGAAGCATTTAGTTTTGTATAAAATCTGATCTGGATATTTCTGGTTTGAAAAATGGCGTGATGAAAGTGACAGTAAGTATCTGATGATATTCTTTCATCCACTCCTTTTTTTAGCATTATTAAAATAAAATTTTCGAAAAAATTCAGATGATATTGATTATCATATTTTGAGAATTTTAGGATAGACGATCTACGGCAAGTTTATCTCCATCACATGAAACAAATGCTGAAAGTCCTGTGCTTAATATCAATACATTGACAAATGGTCGTATATCAGTGAATCAACAATTACAAAGATCTGGTCTTACACCAACGGCAACTGTTGGAGCGACAGCAACTGTTATTTCAAAAAAACGACCTGCAAGGTAATTATTTCCTAATTATATGTCAAATTTAAATGTGCAGTGTGATTAATCTACAAGTATAACATTTAGTATTAACCTATCAGTATCACATTGATAGCATATAATAATGTGTATGATGTAAATAAGAATATTTACAATATTTTACATTATTTTTTACCATTAGTTGATTGTATTCATGTTCTAAACAAGTTATTTCTCTTAGTGATAATGCAATGTCATGGAATACAAATACTGATGCGGTGTTATCGGCAATACGTGTCGCAACTCATGAAAATGCTGATGAACAGGATGGTTGTGTGGAAGGAACTGGTACTGAAGATGGTGGAATTGGAATTGGAGGAGAATTAGACGATGAATTTAATACTAGTATAACAAATGGTATGCATGATATAAAAAGTGCATTTGATGTTGCAATGGAAGAATCAAGTAATTATTTTCTTTTTTTGCCAATTTTCTTTGTAATATTTATTAATTGCTATTTATATGTCATTTAATGCTAATATTATTTGCAATTTATTTGACCATTCATTTAAATGTTTGCTTATTATGTAACATTACTACTGCGTTAGTTTTTTTTTTTTTTTTTTGTTATTTACTGTATGTATTAGTTATTTATTGTACATCAACTTCTTTATATTTCCTTACGTTGGTTGGGTAGTTATTCTTAAACTCGTTTATTCTTTTTGCATTAACTTCCATTTTAAAGTAAACGATAGGAAATGTTTATTTTAATATAATAGCTTGTAAGCATTTATTTTAAAACGTTACTAGCATTTTTCATGGATACTCATTTCTTGAGTTTTCATAAATTTGTCCTACTTGAAGACATGGAATATGATTGAAAACATCAATCCTGAGCATGCTTAGGCTGTATTGGTTACCAATGTTATATATTAGTCTTTATTACTCAGCATGATATCTGTTACTCTTTTCATTTATGCTTTTAAGAATTAATTTGCTGCTTATTTTTACAGCAGCTGAGCAATCTGATGAAGCATTGTTAGCAGCGACAGCAATTGATGGTGGACAGGATGCGACAGATATATTGGGAAATGTCGCTGAGATATTTAGTGCTGGTGATATATCTATTCCATGGAAACGGCGAAATCGTGGTGCTAATAGTAGTATTCACGATAGTGGTAATATCACCGATTCTAGCACAAGAAATGAACGTCCTAGAGCTACTAAGAGCAGGTTTATTTACATTAATCTATGTTTGCTCAGGTTCAAAAATATTTCGTTTAAAGATCAAATTATTTGTATTATTAATTTCTAAAAATGTAAATCCGGAAATAATTTTTATCTTTCTGACTTGGATGTGCGGTTAAATTTGAGCATTTTTAAGCTTAGCAAAAAGACGCATGATGGGTATATGCAAATGTAAACAGCTTATTACCGCTGGTGCGCGACAAATGCATATTTTTTATCACATGGCGAAGGATCGTCAGGTTAGAAATATAAATTATCTTTATGAATATTAACTGTTGATAAAATGATGAATAATAATAATAGAATGGTTTTTCTGGATTGTTTGACTTTTTGCACATGATATTCAGTATGATTGATTGTAATGGTGTTTCTTGAATTTAGTTATAAATTAGTCAATGCTGGAATTTGTAGCTTTTCCGTTTCCGTTGCAAGTATCCAGCTTGTCAAGTGCAGCACTATAGGAAAGATCAGATGGAAAATCATCAATCGAAGGTGCACGGTGCAATAAATCCAATGTTAATCGAGGATCGAACAGCTGAATTATTCAAAATATCGCAGGTAAAATTTTGTGACCATAATTATTTCTACATAGAATTATAAAATTTATTCTCAGTTACTGTAATAGTTTATATCAAATGTGTCTTTTTCTTTATTTATAGGAAGTATCGCTAGATCTTTTGGGAACAACGGGTAATAAACCCGGTCCTACTGCTGCACGTGCACAAATGATTTACGATCAGATGATGGCAGCGCAGGCTCGAAACCCGAGAAATTCAAGGAGGAAGAAAAGAGCAGCTGAAAGAGTAAATCTGAGCTTTTTTTTTTTAATAGAATCATTAAAACGATATGTGTGAATTGAAAAATAAACTTTTAAAAAGAATGTTAGTAAATTTGGAAAAGTATTAAATTATAGGCTTTAGCTGTTGCAGCAGCTCGTGCTGTTGCTACAGCTCGAGTTGCAGTAGCAACTGCAGCGTTGAATGCACAAAGAATGGCTGCAATGCAGGAAAATCGATGCAATACAATAGAACAATCACAGCAGCAGCAACATTTCCTTCCATCTGTTCCATCAACATCACAAGAAATTTCATCGATAGAACAAACTGATGATCAACAATTGCATTGTCAAAAATGTCACAAATTATTACATAATAAGGTGATATAGTTATTTATTTATGAACACATTTTCACAATAAATGTTTGAGTATAATAATAAATAGAAATTCATTTTCCTTAATTTATCACTTTGTATCTTCTAATGTGTTGTAAAATTAATTTATCCCTTAATTTGTCTAAACTTCATAGTGATATGAACAGTAGGAGAAATGAGATTTTTAACAATTGATTCTTAATCCAGCTTTTTTGTTAAATTGATTTTTTATTATTTCTTATCTTGAAAATTTTATTTTTTAGATACGTGGTTTTCATGTTCTATGGCATATGTCCAAAGATCTTGGTATTAATCGTTACATATGTAAATTTTGTGATTTTGGTCATGATCGAAAACAAGCTGTTGTATGTCATGGAAGAAGAGAACATGGTACAGAAGACTGTTGTGAAGATCGTGTTGAGGTTTCCTATTATTCGTATTTGTTTTGAATGTGTGTGTGTGTATGGTATGTATGTGTATTTAGTGTTCAGTTCTTTAAATATTCTAAATTTAATTACAGGATGAAATTATTTTAGGAATATTCAGATGAAGTAAAAGCAATGACTGAGCAGTGTTTCGGTTTACAGCCAACATCACTGCATGATAACCGTATACAGTACAAGGTAAATTTTCTTATCATTTTATTAGATTACATTAGTCACATATGAAAACGATAAATTGGTTAGCTGCAAAGTTATCTGCTTATAAGTTAATAATTGCTAAATTAATTTACATATGCATACTCAGTAAAAGATATTATATTGCTTAGTAAAAGTTAGAATTTTAACGGTTGTAGTATTATTTGTATAGGTGCTTCAGAAAATGAATAGTTTTAAAGAATTGATTTTTTGGAAAAAAATCGAAAGACTTTTCTATCCTGGGATAGCTTGTGTATAATAGATTAATTTTGTAACTTCAATCAGTTTATTGTCGAAATTAATATATTTCTGTCAGTTTTTTTGATACAGACATTGATATTTTTTATTATGTATTCTGAAAATGAATGATGCATGATATTTGCTAGATTTTAATCCATATCGTTAGGAATTTCTTAATGTTGTATGTTTTAGCTATCGGATCAAGTAGTTAACGATGAAGGATTGGTTGCAGAATCTATAGCAAATGATAATACTGCTTGTGCATCTATGATTTCAGATGAAATTGCAAATTCAACAACATATGGGGTGGTAAGTATAGAGATACACAAATTACCAGTTCTAAGAGTTCGATTTTTAATTCTAATTTCTAAATGATCGTTTTTTGAAGTGAAAAACTCTGTACTCAGTTTATGAAACTTTGCAATGGTCGATTGAGAAGAAAAGTATTGGTATTTTGAATTTTCTTTTTTGATCAATTAAAGTAGCAGTTGTATCTCGTTAATACTGGCGTTAATAATATTGGAATTTTCTAGGATGAATATGATGTAAAAGCATCATCAGCACTGCATGATATTGACTCATCGCAATTGATGCTAGATCAATCTGAATCATCGCCGATTATTTCACGATCATTTTCATCAACGTCATCATATCGTGATCGTATGAGAAAAGCCAGAAATCGTCGTTTCGGAATACGTAAACCTCCATCCAAATTGAAGCGTAAAGAAATGGCAAAATTACGTGAAATCAGTATGCGATTAGGTGGTGCACAGTATTTCAAAAAGCGCTTCAACGAAGCTGCACATTGTCAGGTTATACTTATTTCAGAGAATTTGTAAGAATTAAACTTAAAATTTCTCAAGAAAAAATTCAAAAAAAAAAAATGATTTGCAGAAATGCGGTTTGCTAACAACATCACGGTTAAGCGATCATGCATACAAACATTTGGATGTACAGCTATTTCTATGTCCGCAGTGTGATATTGTAAGTTTTTTTTCTAGCTCTTTGGAATTTTTAACTTCAAAAAGTTTTTTTTCGTTTTCCTAACTGTATTTTAAGTGTTTTTTTTTGCTAGCTGAGTAGAGTAGGTGTTAAAAATGAGTAAAATTTTTTCTACTATGGGAAAAGTTATGGAGATCCAGGAAGACTTTGAAGAAATCCAAACTATACTATGAATGATACTTTTAAAAAAGACACTTTTTCATCGATTCTATAATCATAGGAATTATTAAAGCGTTTATTTTATCGCCTATGGAATTCAAAATTAATCTTTTTTATTAGCTGATTCAGATCAGTAATTAAAATTTAATAGTTCATTATTAAGATAATTTCGACAGCTGAAACATTCCAAATCATAAAAAATTTATGTGTTAAAGGGAAATCAGTCACGTGATTTGGTAGTTAAACATATTCGTGATATGCATAGCAGTCAAGAGCATCCAATTGATGAGCGATGGAAATATCGTGTTGAAATTAAAGAAATTATCCGTGAATGTTATCCAGCGTATTTTATTGATGCACCAATACCTACTGCTGCTGATATCGAAAAACTGTATGAAACTGTTAATTTTGTTTCAATAAATATAAAATGATAAAAAGATCTTTGTGATTCGGGTATTAATGATCATTTATTCATCAGTTTTTTGATTTTTTTTTTTTTTTTTTTTTTTAGAAAACAAAGTTTATCATCGGGGCGATTTTTCGATGTCCTTGGATCCACTGATGATGATCAGCCGGAAAGCGTTGATGCAAATCTTGAAAGAGATTTTGGCGGTGAAGCAGCTGATGGAGATTCGGATGATGAACGACAAGGAGAAGGTATGAGATTAATCTTGCTTTATATTGCTAGTTTTTTTTTTTTTCCTTTCATATACGGAATGATAAAGTCATATAAGTTTACAATGAATGCTATTTTTTAAAAAAGTATATTTATATTAGTTAGTTAAAATTTTCGTTTTAATGTTTCATGTTGTAAGATTTTATGGATGAAAATGGATAAAACTAATACTGGCTTTTCTGTGGTTTATCGTGGATAATTTAAAAATTTAATTGTTATTTTGGGAGAGGTTGCTGTCGAGGAAATTCATTGGATTTAGATATAAATATGTGTAGTAAAAGAGGAACATAATAATTTCTTTATTAGCAGAATCAATTAATACAATAACTCGATAGAGAAAAATTGGAAATTAAACTCTTTTGGCTCCTGGTAAAAACATACAATTAGTTAGAAGTGAATTTTATAAAATGAAAGTTTTTTTTTTTTTTTATTCGACTTATAAACATGTGTTTAGGTTTGGAGCCAGAACAAGATGCACAATCATATGCAGAAGGAGGTGATTATGGTGTAGATGATAGTATATTATGTGATGCAGATCAAACACAGGAACGTTTTGTAATGGAAAATGATGGTGATCAATCGGTGGACAGTGATATAAGTGGTGATGATGTTATGATTGAAGAAAATGGACAAGATGAGGTGTGTGTTTTTTCCTTTCATTGATATAATTTTATTGATATAATAATTCATTTTATTGCTTTCAATTTTATTTCTAATTATAAATTTTTTTTACACATTTTATTCAAAATATATATTCATTTGCAGTCATAAAATTGATTTTTTGATATTTGTTAATTTTGCATCTATAACATTTTTTTCAATTGCATATGGGAAATTTTCTTAAAATTAATATCATATTTTAAATATTCTTATTTAGTAATTTATGCTCACATATTTTCAAACTTTCAAATTGTAATGTAACTGAATTTCAATTTTAGGGTCAGATTTCATCTATCGTAAATAGTACTGTTTTATCGTTGTATAAATTATTCCATTCAAAATTTATTCATTTTTTTAAATTCAAAAATTGAAAAATACAGAAATATTGACATATGTTTTGCAGGTGGAAAGATTTGCTGGTGCATCATCAGGACAATCATCAATCACTGGGCTTCCGTTGCTGGAGAATGAAGATGTTTTGGGAAATGGTGGTATTTTGGTGAAAAATGAGCCAGATAATCATTCTGATCTCACTGGTGAAGCTGAAATTACACATATTGTTGAAGAAGAGGAAGATGAGGGTGAGGAGGAAATGTAAAAATGAAAATGTCATAATTCTGATCTTTTTTTTTCGTTTCTTTTGGTTTAAAAATATTTTTAGGGACAATTTTTGCTGATTTTTAAAAGTTTACTCGAACTTACCTGTTTTTTGTTTTTTATTTTTTTTCTTAACTAACGAGAAATTCGATGAGCAATGATTTTCTAATAGTGACTATTATGTTATCAAACACACCGGTCATGGTGGAAGCAATAAAACAGAAACTTTGTGAATTGTATGTCTCGAAAATATAAAATATTAGATCTATACTGGTTTACATTGTTCATAGGTTAAACCAGTGTGGAGAGTTTGTGATTTTATTAAATCTTTTCCTAAGTTAATCAAATTTTTGTTAAAATTTCAGAGTTCCTTTAAAGTACTAACTCAGCTCATATTTTTTTGGAAGTATTATTTTTTTTTTTTAATTGTTAGCTTTTGTTTCTTGTTTACATTTTTTCCACTTCTATATTTACATCATGTTATTCTCTGATCATTCATTCAAATTTTATATTAACAGGTGACAATTGCGCTTTTATCAAGGCGTATATTTTCGCAGATTTCTATATATTTTACACGCCTACACATACATGGAAGTAAATGGTTTAAATTTTCTAGCTGATTAAATGGAAGAATAGTGCCAAGAATTAGTCAGTAAATAATTCATTTTTGACGAGCAAATGAAAATTGCTTAATAAGTTACTTTTATGAAGTTAGTATAAAATTAATAAGTTAGTATCACATATCAATAAAAATATTATCAATTTGAAGTTAATTCATGAAACACGTTCAAAATTAAAATTAGATTTTATAGTTATATTTCTTTTCGTGCCCTTTCAAATCTTATAGCATTATGACATAACTGTGTGATTGAAGTGTTTTTTTTTTTTTTTTTTTCATTTTTTTATTTTTACTTTGTTTCGTTTTTCTTTTCTCAATTAAGCGTTTTTCTCCTAAATTTATTTTCGTATAACAGTAATGTATAATTGATATATGATTGCTTTTTTTTCTTTTCTTTTTTTTTTTGATTTAATTCTCTTCCTCCTTTTTCTCTTTCAAATTTGAATTAAAAAGAATTTTTTTTCAAAAAAAAAAAAAAAAAAAAATTTAAATAATTTTGTCAAAGAAAAAAGGTAATAAATATTAATGGGCAACAATATTAAAATTATCAAATTCGATGTTATTTGATGTGTTATATACATATATATATGAAAGGAATTTTTTTAAAACATTTCTAAATGAAAGCATTCGGGTGTTTTCCTAATTGTCATCATTAAATTATTATGCTAATATCATTCATGAATTAATCATTTTTAATTTTATATAGTCGAAATAAATTAGGAAAAGGAGGAAAACAACAACAAAAAAATCGGTGTTTAGCATTATTTGTTAACAGTATATATATGGAAATATATATATATTAATGTTAAAACGATTTTCCGTTTTCTTTTTTCGTTTTTCTTTTTTATTTGTTTTCAGGAAAAAAGAAATCATTCATATCCGTTTTTTTGTTCCATAAGCTCTACATATACCTCCTATCCCAATTTTTTCCCCATTTAAAAAAATTTTTTAAAGTTTTCTTTTTTCTTATAATGTTACTTTGTTAATATTTATATATATACATATATATACATACATATGTTATTTACTAATGCTTTCTTTATTTCGTTTTTTCTATTTTTCTTTCCATTTTCTTTTTTTTTTAGCTTTTTTAATATTTACATTCACATAAATTACTTATACTTTTATTGGTACTGAGTAATAATTATGTGTAACTTGCGCACTTTGTTTTTCTAAAAAAGTGTATTAATGTTAATGTAATAAATTTTATCAAATTTTATCATTCAAAAAATAGAATCATTAATTTTCTATTGAAATTTTGAAATTTAAAACTGATTTGGAGCTTTGAATGGAAGAAGACTTTTAAAAAATTTTATCAATTTTCTTTTTTCAATCATTATCAGATGTTCAAGTTATGATAATTTGCTGATATTTTATTCGATGGGATGGATCAAGCATCTTTTACTATCGGATAATTTCTCAAGCAAATTCTAAGCTAACAACATAAGTATATGCAAGAGGTCAAATTTTTTCAACTGCTAATCTAATTTTTAATATTTGAATCCATCGGCGCTTTTTGTTTCGGTGTTGGCATGATACGTAATGATAAAAAGTGGTGATAAGATGAATTATACGGCATATTCGTGAATATAATCATTTAGGATTAATTAGTTAGACAAAATTTAACTAAAATAAAAAAAGGAGCAAAGGAATTAATAAATATTGCTATTAATTTTAGTGATAAATGGTAATGATTTAATTTTAATGATGAACTATACAATAGTAATAATTTATTTTTAGATTAAATAAAAAGAAAATCGAAAACATTGATATAATTAATTTAAATGTAAAATTTTTAGCATAAATTAAAAAAAAAAAGTAGGAAGTTGAAAAAATGAAATTTTTAATGATAATTATAAGAAAAATAAAAATAAAAGAAGAAAAATGAAAAAAGAAATTGGAATAAAGAAAAGGAAGGAAGATGAATTATGATGAAAATTATTGTGCAATTTGGTTGATCAATCATCATTTCAAAAGATAAACAAACATATAAAAAGTGCCGCCAGATAATATTGAGAGAGAAATAGGTATAGAATTACCGGTATATATTGGAATATAATTGCTTGCAATGTAAATAAAGTCGGCAGCGTATTTTCCTTGTGTATATAATTCATTTGATTGTAAACAAAATGAATTTATTATATAGTAAGGTAAATAAAGAGAAATAAAGCATGAATTTATCAATATATCAACATTTTGATAATAATTAAAATAATAAAATTAAATTTTCACTATTAAATTAGCAAAATTAAAGTTATTAAAAAAAAAGAAATTTGAAATTATTTTTATATTATATTGTCATTTTTTCATGTTTATTTTCTCTTAATGAAATTTACAAATAATTAATTGTTTTAATGATGATAACAAATAGCTGGTAAAATATTAAAATAAAGATGAATTTTTTAATTTTAATTTTATTTTTGCATTATAATTTATTAATTCTAATTTTAGTGTTAATAAAATAATTTTTTTTTGTCTCTCAAATATTATAAAATATCGAAAATTTTGGGGTGCGAAAAAAAAAGCAAACAAATTGAAATATAAATTATTAATGTTTTTTAATTGATAATGAAATGTACTAAATTTAAAAAAGTTCAAACAAAAATGATTTATTAGTTTAATTCCATTAAAGAATTATATTTTTCGCTTTTTTCTCTCCTCTCTTTTTCCCTCTCTCTCTCTCTCTCTCTCTCTCTTTCTCTCTCCTTCTCTCCATTTCTTTTGCTATATGAAACTAATTGACCAGAGATGATTAATCATTAATAATAAATTTATTATTATTTTTTAATTTCAATAAAAATAAATTGGACTAAAATAAAAATGCAGAAAAAGCATAGGAATACAAATACAATTAAAAAAAAAATAAAAAATGAAAAAAAAAGCAAATAAAAATTAAAAAATAAGAAATTAATAAAAGTATTTTTTATTGATTTAAAGTTTAGCAACACAAATTTTTCTTTTTTTTTTTTGTTATTTACAAAATTCCGCACTGTTTCTAATTTTTATTAATTAAATTTTATAATAATCTGTAATCATCTATGAATGGTTATAATTTATAATTAAATATAAATTTTAGCAATAATTAATTATATATAAATGATTAAATATTAGCATAATAAATCTATATGAAATAATTATTAAATGAAATAAAATAAATTTTCGTATTTAATAATTATATGCAAATTTTATGAATTTTGCTAATTTCATCAAAATAAATTTTAATTTATTTAAAACATTTCAAAAAAACAAAATTTATGTTTCATTTATTATTTTTTTTTCTCATTTCAAGAAAATAATCACAAGGTGAACGGTTGTCCATTTAAGAGAGAGGGAGAGAGAGAGAGAGAGAAAGAGATAGGAGTAGGATGACCTTTGAATATGATGAAAATAATCGTATTAGTGGTTTTACCCTATCAATTTCTGTACCACCTTATTCAAGGTAATAATTAATCTATCTTATTTATTAATCATTTTAAATTTTAAATTCGAATTAAATTTATGAAAAAAATTTACTTGGTCATTTTAACTAAATTTTATATTTAAATTAATGATTTTGTAAAAAAAATAGAAAGGAAAAAAACGAATTTTCAATATTATTTATTTAACAAACTTGAAGAAATTCATTTGTTTTTTGTAACTTTTTTTTTTTAATTTGAAATTTTAGCCTAAAAAGTAAATTGGTTTTTTCAATTTTTTTTTCTTTTTGAAATTAATTATTATACATTTTATGTACTAAATTTAAAATTTGAATTAGGAAATTTTTTTTCTTTCAAATTTATACATTAATAAAGATTGTATTGATAAATAGCATGATATCTATTACTAATCTTATATAAGGTTGTACTCAAATACTAAATCTAAATATTATTACATATTATAATACTTCTAAATGATTTTTCATATATGAAATTATAAACTGAAAAATTTATAAGTGAAAGAAAAAGAAGATATTTATTGTAAATCAATTTTTTATGAAAATCATATTCTGTTAATAAATTTTAACTGAATATAATAATTGCATTTTAAATTTTAATTCTTTTCAGCAAAAAAAAAAAAAAAAGATAAAACAAAAATGAAAAACGAAGTCACAATTTTTAATTAACTAAATTATATTCAGTAATGAAATTTCTCGCACTGTAATTAAACTTATTAATCAGTGATAACTACAAACTTAACAAAATTGTTAAGTTTCAAAAAATTTTTTTCTAGAAAACATAAATATTTTACAAAAAAATTTAAATTGCAGAACAGTAAATGAGTAAATCCATTTATAATGAATAAATGAAATTATTCTAAAATCAAAACTGCATTAAATTTTTATATTTTGTAAATCATTTCATATTTTTATTTTTATTCACACTCTCTATTTGAGCAAAAGAACGGTTATTTAGTAATTTCATTACTTAAAGAAATAAATAATTGCATAAAAAAAAAAAAAAAAAAAAAAAAAACAAATAATATAAAAAATGTATAAAATCTGTAATAAATTAAAATTGAAATAATTAAAATTAAAATAAGTAATTAAAAATTAAGACCAACTTATTCATTTGTGCTCGATTGGGAGAAGCAAAAAAGACGAAAAAGATCGTTATCAAATGAAATGAAAGTAAAAAGTAATAATATAGAACATTTAAACTGTAAGTATTAGTAAGTTTGTGAAGTTCTTCTTTTTTTGATATGATTAAAATAATTGAAATAATAATCAAAAGAGTTAATTTAAATTTAATTCAAATTTAAACAATGATTTTTCTATTTTGCAATATTTGATTAAACAAGGATAAATGCATTTAGTTATGAAAATTTATCTTGAAAAGTTATTAATTATCATTAATAGTTTAAAAAAAGAAATTGGTAACTAATTAAACTTAGAATTAATAAAGTTAATTTTGTTACATTCACTAATAACAATTTAGAGTGCAGTAAAAAGTAATGAAAAATAATTAATTAAGTATTATTATAGCCTGAATTATAATAATGAATATAATTTATATTATTAATTTAAAGTGGTAAAAAAAAGGAAATTGAAAAGATTTACATCAATCGAAAACTTTTATTCCATCTATTTTAATAAAACAGAAAGAAGAAAAAACTATTATTTAACAAACGTTGCTTTTGTATAATTTTAAAATTAGTACAGCTATATAGTCGATGAAATTTTTAACCAAATATATTGTTTTAATAATTTCTTAGGCTAATATATTACATTCGAGAGTTTTACTAGACTATATACTTAAATATATTATTGATTAGTGATGTTAGTATAATAATTCCAGTAATAATACAAACATATATTTCTTACAAACTAGGCTAATACTACATTCGAGAATCATACTAGAATTGCTGGGCCATATGCTTACATTCACTAGGCCTAAATTACCAGGCTAAATAGATATTACTGACTAAAAATAATATAGTAATATAGAAATTGAAAATGTTAAAGCCATAATGAAAACAGTAGTTGAGGGCATACCATTTTAACAATTTAAAATTTTTGATACTAAATTTTTTGTTTGCCCAGGAGTAACACTTCAAAATATATTTATGTTGATATAAATATAAATTTAAACATTTTAAAATGATATCAATTAAACTTTTCCATGCGAAGTTTATTTGTATTCTAGGTTTTGATAAACTTTATCATTTTTAAAAGTTTAATTGTGAAAAAAGAAATTTTTTTTTCTAACATTATTTAATCAAAATAATTTTTAGCAGAAAGAACAATTAAGGATGATAATTCATTTTCATCAGCAGGTATAATTCTAGCGTTTTTATTTTATTTTTAAAAATGTTTGTTTATTTATTCAGTCATTATAAATTTTCTATCAATGTTTTATTAATGATATTTACAAATTTCATTTACCAAATTTAAAAAATATAAATTTCTTCAAAAATTAAATCAGTTTTGAAAAAAAAAAAAAAAAAAAGAAAAACGAAGTGAATATTACAGATAATTCAACTATCAGCAAATTATCAACGATGAAAGATGAACAAAGATTTAGTAGAAATAGCGTAAAATTTTCATTCAAATCAATAAATGATCATTGATACATTTATAAAATTTATAAAAGTTCAACAAAATTAATTAATTATCACTGATTTTAATTAATTAATTAATTTAAAACCGCAAAAATGTTTTTACTGTAAAAAATTGAGGAGAATAAATTTATGAAATTTCAAAAAAAAAAAAAAAAAAACAGAAAGTTATCCTTTCAATGATTGCATTTTTAAGTATTCTGAATCCGAGCAAAAGATGCAAAATGAAGAGAAAACACAATGTGATAGTACGAAAAATCAAAGTTTTAATTTCTTTAAATTTTCTTTAAATTTAAAAAATTTATTTTTTTAATTTAAATTTTTTTCCTTTTTCAAAAAGTATAATTTTTTTCAGAAATTTAAAATTTCCGTTATTTATCATAGCTTTTTCGGAATTTGAATTCTTTATTTAATTTTTTTACCTGATTTCTTTTTTTTCAAAAGTTCTATCTTATAATAAATTAAATTTTTTTAAAAAAAGATTAAAATTCAAATTTGAAAATTTTCAAAACGGAAAGAAGAAATTATGTAAACGAAAATATGAGTAAATAAATTTTAATAACAAATATAATTTTAAATAAATTTCAATGAAAAAATTTATTGTTGGAATGAATGTTTAGCTTATGATAATTTGGAAAGTTATAAACAATCAGTCGATAATGATATCAATCGATACAAAGAATCGGTAATGATTATTTACTGATAATGATAGGAAAGAAAAAAGGAAGTAAAGTTATGGAACAGATAAACAGAAAAAATAAATGAAAAATCTGAAATTATAATTAGTAAACAAATTGAACTAATTAGTATTACATTTTATTCATTGAATAAAATTTTAGAATTTTAAAATGGGTAAAATAATTGAAATTAATGAAGTTTTTAAAAATAGGCAAATTGATGAAATTTTGAAAATATCAATTTGATGAATGCAATTATTATTGAAAAAATAATGATTAATTCACAGTGAAGCATTCATTCATGAAAATGCATTCAAATGTTTGCTACTTAATTTAAAAGTTGATTAATTAACTAATTAATTAATTAATTAGGAATGAGCTAATATTACTGCTATTGATGTAATTAGAGGAAAGCTAAAAAAAGTGATAGAACGAATTAATAATTATAATAAATGATTAAAAAATAATACAATTTAAGTAATATAATATTTCATTATGCTATAAGAAAAAACGTATGCAATAAAAATATGATACTGAAATATTTGAAATGCACCATTTAATTATTTAATTAATTATGATAGAATGAATTTTATAATTAACATTAATAGAGTGGATATTCGGCTAATTAATATAATGGATTTTCTAATTAATTAATTAATAAAAAGAAAAAGATACAAAGCATATAATGGACTAATCTTTTTTTTTTTTTTTGAAATGTAAATATAAATTTTTATTTTTAAATAATTTTCAAGGAAAATTTTTAGAATAATATGCTGCGATCAAAAAAGCATCGCCGTAATTCAATGATTCAATTAAATGTAATTATTCGACATTATGCAAATAATAGTGAAATAATTGAAAATTTTATTACTGATAAAGTGATAAATTCATTAACTTTAATTGACGCACTCAGATTTGTGCTTCGTAATGCAACGATTTCATTAATGTAAGTTACTTTAACTTATTTTTCAATTGTTTTTCGTTTTTTTTTTTTATTTCTATCTACTGATAAAATGATAATTTTATTACTTTTAAACATTAATAAACTTTAATTGATGCATTCAAATTTGCACTTTGTAATATAGTAATTTTATTAATGCAAATTTTCAATTATTTCAATATGTTTCTTTAAAAATTACGCATATTAAATTGAAAATTGGAAATTTTAATTGATATAATATAAAATATAATATATGGTTGCTATTATACAATTAATTAGTTTCATATTATTTAATTAATAATGATGATATATATATATATATATATAATGTATCATTTATTTAAGACTTACACAAAATTAATTAATTGAAAAGGTGAATTTAACATTCAAATTATACGGAATTAATTAACTAAAAAAAAATTTAATTTATAAATTATTCCATTTATACTTCTTGTCATTTTCTTTCTTTTTTCATTTTTTTTATTAACATTTCTTTTTTCGATTTATTTTTTTCGTACTTTTTTCTTGCTAATATAATTATCAAAAAAATTGCAGCAATCTTAAATTTGTTTTTTAAGCAATTATTTTTCAAAAATTTGAATAAATTAACCAAACTTCTTTCAATTTTTACCAGTTAACAAATTGTAAATTATATTTTATCAGAATTATTTATTCAGCAAAAAAAAAAAAGAAAGTCAAATTAGCATTCATTTAATTTTAGTGATAATGATTATGGACGTCTATATTTATTTCCTGATAACAAAACCAATGATAAAGTGCATGAATTACGATATGATCGAAATCGTTATAAATTATTAGCGAAATTTTGCAAATTCAAAAATGAATGTACATTATTACTTGATTTAACTAATACATTCATCAAGTAAACAGGAAATAAAATTTTTTAATTATTTCTATAAATTCATAAAATTGGTTATGGTAAATAATTCAAATTATAACATAAAATCAATTTGTATTCTTAATCAGCCGTTTTCTTCTTTTCATTCGTTTTTTTTCTTTTTTTTTTTTGCCAATTTAATGATAAAAATTTACGCATAAATGATAAAATAATACAAAAATATTAATTTTGTACATCAACTTATCAAATTAACTAAAAATAAATTCAAAATTGGTATTAATTTATATAATATTCTGAAGAAATAGTTTCAACAATTTGAATTTTAGGAATTTTTAAAAAAAGTAAAAAGTTGAATTGTAAAAAAAAATCTTACATTTTTAATTTCAACATCACTAAATGATAGATGAAATTTTTATTTATGGGAAATTGAAAAATATAGGAAAATATTGAAATTAAAATGAGAAATCATTTTCTTTTCTTTTTTGTTCATAATTAACTTGTAAATTGTAAGAAATCAATTATTTTCCATCGTCGATTTATTAATTTTTATACAAATGTAAATAAAACAAATATATTACCCTTTTATCGCTCTGAATAATTAGCAAACATTTAATAATGAAAATTTGACGTTACATGCAACTTTCTCCAAATTTTATGCTTTTAGATTCAAATTTAAATTTCATCAGAATTATTAATACATAACAATTCAACAAATGCATTTGAATTGAATGCATTAAATGATTGTTAGCTAAAAAATTACATTTAAATCAATTGTTGCAGAAGATTTTGTAATTAGTAAATACATTTAATTAATTAATCAAATGAAGAAACAGCCAAATGAACAGCAATAATATGAAATTGAAATCAATTCATTCATTCTATTTCTCTTTATAGTTTCTTTATTAACATTTATATTATATGTTAATTGATTTTTTTATTTAAAAAGTCTTAGAAACTTAACAATTACCTAAATTACTTACAAAGTTGACAAATTAATAGCAAAATTAATTAATACCAAATGTAAATGCATGTAATCAATTAATTAAAATAGTCTTTTTTTTTAAAATATCATCTTGGCCTCTATTACACTGCAAATATTATTGCATTGTTTTTTTTTTTTTTTTTTTTTTTTTTTATTTTATTTAAATACAACGTATAATTTTAATTCTTTATAACCATATTTCTTTCTTTAGCAAAATAAGAAAGAGAAAGTACATATGTATACATATATAAATGAAAAAAGAAATTTTTTTTTTTCCAATTTTTCTCTTGTTTAGATCCTTTTCTAGAAAAATTAAAAAGGCAAAAGAAAAAAAAAATAAAGTTGAAAGAAAGAAAAAAATATAATAAACTCGTATACATCATCAAAAAAAAAAAAAAAAAAAAGAAAGCAAGAAAGTAAAATTAAGCAAATGAAATTAAAAAAAATAAAATACGAAATTAAATTTATAAAAATAAAATTTAAAACTGGAAAACATACACCACATACACACACACACAAGCATAAAACATACACATTAGTAAAAAATATATAGCAGCCAATTATTAAACATCACATTACTTAAAATTAAAACAAGAAAACAAATAAAAAAAAATTTTTTTAAAGAAAGAAAAAACAGAAATGAAAATATTAGGAATATCAAGAAGATATGGTAGCTATTTCTTTTTTTGGAACTCTAGTTTTAAACTAGTAAAAAAATAATTTCGTTTTGGAAAAAAAAAATTAAATTAAAAAGCATAAAAATATACAGACTCGAGGAGGAAAAAAAATCACATGCAAAAATTTTTTAAAAAGATTAAATCCCTATGAATATTTAATATAAAATGAAGTGTAATAGCAAACACAAACAAACTATCAGTAGGCATTAAGAATTTATGCAAAATAAAAATAAAAATAAAAAACATCTATTTATAATTTCATATTTTCTTCTTACAAAACTAAACATATTAATAAAGTGGAAAGATTTTCAAGGTGAGAATTCTTTTCTCTGTAATTTTACAAAGCGAATGAAAAAAAAAAAAATGAAGAAAAGAGAGAGAAAGAGAAAGAAAGATGGAGAAAGGATATTTGTGTCTATAATAATAATAATTATTATTATTATAGCAATAATAGTAATAATAAATGATATGCAATATTAAGCAGAAAAAAAGAGATGAAATGGTGAAATACTAAACAAATAAAACAAAACAAATGTCAACTGATCGATCAAATTGATTGATTTATTGACAGTGTAAAATTTTAACAACCAATAAAGCTCATACAATATAAAACAAAATTTGGCAAAAAAAAAAAGATGAAAAAAAAAAAGATAGAAATTGAAATAAATGAAGTGAAATAAATAATTAAATAAATATAGCAGCAATAATAAATAATAATTTCGTTTCTTTCATAGCAGCTAAAACAATTGATTAAATCACCAATAATAGTAATAATAATAATATAAAAATGACAATAATAGTAATAAGTAACTAGAATTATAGCATAAATTTAATAAAAGAACTACTAAACGATCCACTTGTACAATTCTCCCTCTTTATTTATTGTCAATATTTATTAAAAAAAAAAAAAAAAAAAGGAAGAAAAAAGAAAGGAAAAAGAAAGAAAGAAAACCTCCTTGTACCCGATAGTATGTACAATTAAAAATTTCCCGATATTCAAGAAATATACAAAGAGTAGATCGATATAAATTCCCCGGAAAAAAAATTTGAAAATTTGATATACAAACATTTCAAATGCTGATAATAATAGCATTCTCTATTCAACATAATATAATCACAACCAAAGCAAAATGATTAACGAAAAAAAAAAATGTCTGCCTATATGCTCATAAAAAAGAATTTTTAATCATAAAAGAATACAAATTTGCATATTTATGACGATATTTTTTGTAAACAATCGCAAATTTATTAATTAATTTTTCAAGAGAAAAAGAAAAAAAATTTATTGTAATGCAAACTTATATAAAATTCATATTCCTAAAATAAAAAATACTTCTGAGAGAAAGCATTAAATTGAAAGAAGAAATTTTAGTAAAAAAAAAATACATAACCTGTTATTTTATATAGGCATAACACAGCTTTAAAAAAATTTAAAAAGAAATGAAAATTCAATATTTTCAAATTTCATTACAAAATTATTATAAGTTCAATAATCATATACTTTCAAAAAAAATTTGTGTAACAATGAGCTGTTTTTTGAGAAAGTCAAACGCGTATGTAAGATAAAAAAAATTTATTTATAAAAATTGATACTATATACGAGCTACTTCATTTCGATTCGCTGCTGCTGATGCTTGGATTGTTGTTGCCATTTGTGAATTTGTTCTCATAGGACGTCGTATTTGTCCCGGATGTTCCTATAATGATGATACACTTTTAAATTGTTTAAATCCTAAATAAATTTGCAAAAAATGAAAATATTCCTATTTTAAAATTCGCATATATGCAAGAAACTACATATAAATTCTCACATATTATTTACAATTTTTTTTTTTTTTTTGGAAAATTTCAAAAGCTAAAAGAAATTCTATTGCCAAAGCTCAATCAACATGCAAATATATTCTTTTTTTTTTTACTAAAATTAATTTTCTTATACTTATAAAAATAATCATTAATTAGTCTCTTAAGTCGCCATGTATGATCAGATCGTTCATTTTTTTTTGCTCTTCTAAGATACCAGATTAACCTCATTAAAGAGTCACAGAGCTATCATAAAAATGGAAGAATGGAATGAATTTAACAGCATATACATTGAACTATGATCTATTTAATCATAAATTTTCAATGATTCAAATTTCAAATTTAATCAAACTACAAATTGTAAAAGATACTGTTTCTAAATGATTTCCTTTAATTTCAAGTTTTGCTAATTCAGAAAATCAAAAAAAAAAAAAAAAAAAAGAAAAAGGAAAAAGGGAAAAAAGCTTATTTCACTCGAAGTTAAATTTTAAATAGCTAAAAGGTTAAAGCAAATCATACCGCATAGAAAGCAAAATAAATAAGAGATAATTGATGCATGCAACATACCATAGTATGAATTTCTTGATTTGTTAATTGAGCTGTGCAAAGCATGCCATTACGTCCTAGCGAAGAACCTTAAGTTAACAAATTAATGAAAAGGAGAGAACAGAAGAAGAAGGAAAAACAGAAACAAAAATGAAACAAAACAAAAAAAAAAAAAAAAAAAAAAAAAAAGATCCTAAACTAATTTTCAAAATGAAAAAAAAAAAAAAAATAAAACAATGCAAATAAAAAATGTTGCATTTATAACGAATATATAAAGCCAATAATGTAACCATCACCAATCAATTTACGCCAATATTATATTAACTAGAAATAAAAGAATTATGAAAAAAAAAAAAAAAAAAACAAAGCTCATATATTATTTCTTTTTTTAAATATATTATGTAGCAATAAATTGATTAGTGTAATTTTTCTCGATGATAACTACAAAGCTTACCATCTGAGCTTTTGCTATGCGAACTCAATGGGCGTGTTTTTGATTGCATCAACTCAAAATCACGTCGAGAAATACTACTTAAAGTTTGCGTACCATGCAAATTAGTTGCTGTTGTACTGCCCGAACGCATTATTGGATTAATAAGTTGACGTACCTGTCAAATTTAGAATTAAATCGTTATCAGAGCACACCAAAAATAAATAAAAAATTAGATAGATTATAATTAGAATGAGTGAGTAAATGAGTAAAAAGTTAGTAAGATATTTGAAATAATGTCAAATTATATACAAGCATATATAATATTAATATTTTGTAGTAAATCGATAACTTACAAATAAATTTAAGTTAATGAAAAAATCGAAAATATCTGATGAAAAAAAAGATGAAAGTTGGAAATTCTCATAAAATCATAATGTTAATTATTTAAAGAAAGCAAATTATTTACTGAAAGAATAAAAAAACAAAACAACAACAATAACAACATGACTTCTGTTATTACTATACTAAAAACTTCAACATAACATGCTCATCATTTCACGATAAAATGCATACAGTAAGGATGTCATGCA